TCCTCCTCCTCCTCCTCCTCCTCCTCCTCCTCCTCCTCCTCCTCCTCCTCCTCCTCCTCCTCCTCCTCCTCCTCCTCCTCCTCCTCCTCCTCCTCCTCCTCCTCCTCCTCCTCCTCCTCCTCCTCCTCCTCCTCCTCCCTTTTCCCTTACTTCCTCCTCCACTTCCCGTCCTACTTCCCTCCTTTCTTCCTCCTTTCCTCCCTCCTCCTCCTCCTCCTTTGCATACTCCTTGTTTCCCTCCTCACCTTCCTGATCCTCCTCAGCTGTCACCGCCTCCTATCCTCTGCAACCATCACCATCACCACCTGATTTCACTGTGTTTCTTTGTCCTTTCTCGCTCAACCCTCGTCCTTCATCGCATTCCTGATTTTTCCTCCTTCCCGTCGGGCCTCTCTCCTGATGCTCATCGTGTCTCTCTGCAGAAAGGAAGTCTCCTCCTCCGAGGCTGAGCACAAACTCTCGCGTGTATGAGGCGATCGAGGAGCTCCTGCTCTCCAATGACGATTATGTAAGGGAATTAGAACATTGGGCGGATGGGGAAAAGGAGGAGGAAGGAAAGAGCGGGAGCGGGAGCGGGAGCGGGAGCGGGGGTAGGGACAAGAGAGGGAGCACGGAGCGCGGAGCAGGAGGAAGCAAGGCTGAAATGTTCATCTAGGTAAGGATCATGGACGTTTCCCGCAACCTCCCGCAAACCATCTCTAGTCTCGACATCCTACGTTTCATCTTCCGCGATCCACCGGCTAACCAGGTTCTTCGTCGTTGTTGTCCTCCTCCTCCTCCTCCTCCTCCTCCTCCTCCTCCTCCTGCTAACCTCCTGCTCTGCCTGCTTCTGCACTTCTTCATACGTTCTTGTTCGCTCTTTCTCTTCGCCATCCTCTCCTTTCTGTTTCTCTTCTTCTTCTCCGCTCTCCTCCTCCACTCTCCTGGCCTAGGAGCTCTCGGTCTACCGCTTGATCCTCTCTGCCGTTGCCTCCTCACTAACTCATACCCTCTCCCTCTCCTCCCTCTCGTCTCTGATCGCCTCCTCTCCTCAGCGGATTCAGGCCAGGGCACTGGAGCTGACGGCGGAGGAGCAGCAGCGCGTGCCACGCATCTTCTACTTCATGCTCACCATCTCCTTCTTCCTCTTCCTCATCGGCACGGGCGCAGGGGCCTGGCTGATCGGCTGCCAGGGCGTCTGGAGGGACGTGGCAGAGTGCCAGGGAGACGCGAAGCTGATCTTGTCCATCATCTGCCTCGCCTGCCTCGCCCTCAGCTGGATCCTGATCTTCGTCTACCTCCTGGTGTACGTCGGCAGGAGAAGCCCTTCCGTCCTGCTGTCTAGCAGAAGCCCAGGAGCGGTAGCGCAGGGGAGGAGGGAGGAGGAGATCCGCTACGACTACCCCCCGAGTGAGAAGAGTTTGAGGTCCCGGGGTTGCTCCTGTGCTGACCCCTGCTGGGCAGAGAGCAAGTTCTCGATCATCAACGAGAGACCTGCGGAGACTGCACAGGTGGAAGGAGGAGGAGGAGGAGGAGGAGGACAGGAGGGAGAAAGAGAGAGAGGGGAGGAGAGAAGAGAGAGGAGGGAGAAGAATAGACGAGGACATAGTCGGAAAAGCTTCGATCAAGGTGATTGAATGGATAGAGGGACAAGGAGGGAAAGGCGGGTAGGCGGCGGAAAAGGTCAAGTGATGGTACGCAGGAGCATGAGGTCTTTCACATGCGAGATGCGAATGTACTGAAACATTTCTGATCATGTCACGTCCAGACATCAAATTCTGCTCCTGCTCCTGCTCCTGCTCCTGCTCCTGCTCCTGCTCCTGCTCCTGCTCCTGCTCCTGCTCCTGCTGCTCCCGATGCATTCCAAGGAGCAACCGCGGTTTCGAACTGGTATCTAATTACATCCTTACCTTCTTTGCAGACATTGCACCCTCTTGTTAGCCAAGTGCCCTACCCCCTCCTTCCTCCCTTCCGCC